CGTTTCCAGGCCTCTCTTAGAGGCTAAGAGGCATGGGTTGGGGGACAAAGGTGGTATGGTAGAGGGTCCGGTGACCTGGGGGTCTGGGGGTCTCCCAGTCCTGACACAGAAGCTGGCAACAAACTTGCAGCAGAGCCTCAAGTTGGCAGTTCCAGGTTTGGGTGCTTTATTCTCTCAGACCTCCCTCAAAGGATGAGATGCCCTTCCTCATCCCCAGCCTCAGCCTCCCCTGAGCCCTGCAGGAAAGCAGGCTGTGTGGGTCTCCCAAACAGAGGCAGGAGCACCAGCCCTACAGAGCCAGCAGCTGCTGGGTGAGGCAGATGGTGGCACAGGGTGAGGGCCACGGTGTTCCAGGGCCACTTAGACTGCTGTGAAATTCATCCCCCACAATCCTCAGGGACCTCTTCTCTTACTGAAAGGGACATTCTCAGAACATGCTGACCTGAGTTGCAAATCCCTGGTGCTGTGTGGAGAAATGTCCCACCACCTTTTCCTATCTCTCCCCCCATCACTGCCCAGCCCCGAGATTGAGCTGCTGAAAAGAAGTCCAGGGTCTCTGCCTGTGGCTGCTGAGCATACCTGAGCACATGTGCCGTAGGCTGCTTGTGACAGGCTGGAATACATAATCCAGGTGTCCCGGAAGCCACCACAGACATCACCTGTCCTCCCTTGGTAGTGGTCTTTGAAAAGTGAGTCTAGACACCCTAAAACTGGGATTCAGGCTTCCTGCTTTCAAGGGCAGGTGGTCCCCCATGGTGCAGCTGTGAGTCTCATCCCTCCTCTGGGCTGTGCCTCAGCTGGGATATGAACATTCATCCTTGGCCTGGGTGTTACTGCCCCTACACTGAGCCATCACACCCCACACTCCCTGGCCTTCCTTCTAGGGCACCCTTCTCATGAAGTGGAGTGGATGAAAAGAACAGGAAAGCATGTCAATCCTCCTGCTGTCACCATATGGCAGAGGCTGTTGTGAGGATGTCTGTTGTACTTGGGTGAGAAAGCCCCTTGGCCTCAAGCCCTGCCATGCAGGAATGCTACAGACAGCGCCAGGTGATAGGAAAGAGCATGTCCAGGAACTCACCTGATGCCAGTCTCAGCTCAGACTGAGGATGAGGCAGGAGGCCTCTTGCTAGGCTTAGGGGATATGGCAGGAGGAGCCTCCTCAGGATGCCAACTGGGCTGGGTAAAGCCAATAGAGGGTTTGGGGACCAGGGAAGCTGTGATTTATTTCAAGCACTGTGGACATTGCAATATTTTCACTGCTCTGTTGAGTCCAATGGGACATCAGTCCTGTGCATATCTTCCTCTTCCTCTAGCCCTGCCCAGTCCTGGGTGGAAAAATTACTAGCACCACATCCCCTGTCTGTCCCACCAAGAGTCTGCTTTATTCACATATTCATGCATCATGCATTCAGCAAGCATTTTCCTGTAGGCATGGGGAGCACTGAGAAGGGTTGAAAGTGAGCAAAAAAAAAAAAAAAATCAAATCATATGACAGAAGGGGAAGTTCCATCTCGCCAAGGATCTGGATGTGGGGACCTGCTCCAGCCTGGTGGAATCATGGTGCCCCAGGGGCATGAACTGCTCAGGAGCAGACCCTGACCAGATCCCCCGCAGGCCTGGAACAGCCTGATCAGCAGCCTCCTAGTCTTGTGGCTGCCACAGTGGGCCTCATCATCCTTCCCTGTCACTGGGCCAGGGTGTTCCTGGCTGTCAGGCAGTGCCAACTGGTGATGCCTCCTCCATCAGTGTCCCAAGCCACTTTTTGGAGAATGAGACCACCAGCTGCTTTGTGGCCAGCTCCAACTTACTGGTGAGTATTTTTAGGTAGAATGTTCCAGCCTGGTAAAGTCTTTTGAGGTTTTCTGCTTCTTGTTAGTTGCTTCCTTCTGGTATGGACAGTGGGGAAAGGAGCAGAACACAGGAACCCACACATGGGAGAATAGCAGGTATTTGGCTTGAGTATGCCAAAAGAGTTATTCAAGCAGAATAATATCAAACAAGGCTGTGGTTGCAAAAGGACATGACCAACAACTTGGTTTCAATTTGAGCACCCTAATAAACAAACTGATTTAACTGTCATAGTCTGGAGGAATGTGAGACCTTGATCACATTGAGGCCACCACCTGAGACCTCAATCATGTCAGAGTCACCACTTAAGACATTGATCACCACCTGTGGAAGTCTGTCTTGCAGACTCTGACTCAATGACAGATGAATGAATGCACCCTCACATCCAGTACAGTGATTTTGAGTGGGCTAAGGATGATTGTCAACTGTTTTCAGAGGGCAATTGCAGCTAACTGATCACTACTCCCTGTCCTTCCTTGCATTTATTCAGTATAGATTTAATAACAGAAGTTCTAAGTCGACAAGCTCATGGATAATTAACATGGTGTAAAAGAGTGGTTTTACAAATGATATAAGGTCTTGGTTCTGGGTCCTAGAATAAACACTATTAACAGTTTCATTAAACCAACAATATTAAATGCCTTATTTCTCAAAGAGTTACACAAGGATAATTATCTTTTGAGTTACATTTATAACTTTATAACCCTCTTGCCAAATTTTGACAGCTTATAATATTAGCATTTAATTAAGCTGAATTTTAACCACTGAGCACTTTAAAAATCCTTTTAAATCTCATTACTGTAACCAAGTACCCCCCATTTTTCTAAGACATTATTTTTTCTCTCTCTCCTTTTCTTGTTCCTTCAGTTCCCCACTTCCTACTTAGGCTTTTAGAAATGCAAATATGCTTTTTTCTCCCCATAACCAAACTCTCCCTACAGTGCAAGTTCATCTAATTACATGTTCCAACTGGAAAGTCAACTTGAGAATTAACAGTTGATTTATAAATCAAGCAAGCCCACTGTGGAACTATCACTCTCTAAGGGGTTGTTTCAAGAGATAGCAGCCTGCCTACAAAGATGCCAGCAATCATAAGCTGATTGCCCAGTAGATAAGGCAAAGGAGCTAGCATGGACAACCCCATCCTTGCTCACTTTCTCCCCTGCCTTTTAAAAGTGAAGCCATATGGAGGACACCTGCATTTCTTCCCCTAAGCTAGTTTTGGAAATAAATCACTTTCTTTATACCAGACGTCACTTTTGTTAACTGGACTCTGCAAGCAATGAGTGACTAACCTGCATTTTGGTTACATTACCATGTTTTAGCTGGGACAAACTTCTAATATTTCAAGTGTAACACAAATATCAAGTCAGAAAGGACTTGATTTAGGAAACAAACCCAGACTGCCATGGTGGAAAAAGGGCAGAACCTTGGCTACTGAACCTTGGTACTGAACCTTGGCTACTGAACTACAGCATGGGGTACCCACAAGCCAGCCTTCATGGGGATTCAGTTCATGGGTGTTGCCCTGAGCATGGACAGTGGCCTTTCCACCTTAGAATCTGCAGTTGAGTTCAGGGTGGCCTTAACAATCCTCACCTATTCCCTTTCCAGCCACACAGGAGCTTGGATGAAACAGGAGTCTCTTTAGTAGCTCCTTGTAAGCTGAGATGTGCATGACCAGCTCAAGTGAAGCACAGTGTCAAGAGAGTGGCACAGAGGCTGTACCCTAAATTCCCAGGGACCTGTGACAGGCCTCCCAGATGACCTCTGCCTTCTCATGTGACATCAGTTCTCCTCTGCCCTCCTGAGTGACATTAGTTCTCCCCTCTCAATTGAACTATACCCTCCTAGGTTACCTCAGCTCTCCCAGGTGACCTCTGCCTTTTCAGATGACTTTAGTCTTTTCAGGTTACCTCAGTGCTTCTAGGTGACATTAGTCCTACTTGGTGATCTCTGCCTTCCCTGGTGAACTCAGGTCTTCCAGGGGACCTCTGCTTTCCCAGATGATCTCTGCCCTCTCAGGTGACATTAGTCCTCCAAGGGGACATTACCTCTCCCAAGTGACCTCTTCCCTTCCAAGTGACCTGTTTCCTTCCTCAAGTGACCTCAGGTCTGCCAGGGGACTACTGCCTTGCCAGGTAAACTCTGCCCTCTTGGTGACATAGTGTGCTCAGGTGATAGCCCTCTCAGGTGACCTCAACCCTCCAAGGTGACCTCAGCCTTGGTGAAGTCTTTGCATGGTGACTTTGGCTTTTGCAGGAGGTAGGCTACTGCAGGGGCATGAGCCATATCATGGCATGATCCACCATCCTACTCATGTTCCAGAATGAGGAAGACATCTGGGTTCTGGCCCAGCTGCTGGCCAATGAGAGGCTTGCCATGCATGGTACTCTCCCAGGTGACCTCTGCCCTCTCAGATGACACACTCCTTCCATGTGACATTAGCCCACAGTGGACACAAGGCATCACACAGCCAGGATAGGGGATGGCCACAGTGGCTCGGTAACTGTGACTTACAGTTAAGGTACTTTCTGTGCCCTACTCATTTTGACCCTTCAGGACATCCCCTTAGAGTCCCACAGGAGCTTGGGGCTGGTCAGGGACTCCCACAACCCAAGTCAGATGCCTCTTGTCCCCATCAGCAAAGGGGATCACAGCTTCCCTGTGACCACTTTCTATATCCTGGAGCCATAATCCTCTGGCCTTGACCTTATGCAGATGACTCTAACCACCCTGCTTGTCCTTCCACCTCCCAGCTGGCCATGCTCCCAACCACCTTCCCTGCCCATGGCTAGACCAAGCCCAGATGACAGAATCTCTCCATCCTGTATCCCCTGGCCTGACCCCACATCCATGAGAAGGCCAAGCACCCTCCAGCACCCCTGGTCACCCCACCAGCTCCCACCTGCCCTCATTGCTTCAAAGGCAGGCCTACTCTTCTGGAACAATGCCTCCAGGCAGGCCCCAGGGGACATCTCCAACCCTCCTCTCCTGGCCAAGAACACATGATAGGGTCACTGGATGGGAGAGTGAAAGGCCTTCTGGTCTGGAAGCAACCACCTCTGCCCAACTGTCACTGCAGAACTGCTGCTGCCCAACCACCACTACCCAACTGCCGCTGCCCAACCACCACTAACCAACCGCTGCTGCCCAACCACCACTACCCAGACTGATGGCTTCACATCTCAGGAGTAACCTCTGACTTCCTAGGGCCCCAGGAGCCTCTGAGGATTCTACATCCCAAGATGTTCTAAGTTACAGAATCTCCAAGCCCATCGAGAGCAAGTTTTGCTAGAAGTGGTCTGAGAGCTTATGAAGCACATGGTAAGTGGAGAGTCCCCTCCTCTTCCCCAGAGGCCCTGGGTCCCACAAGGTTAGGCAGACAGGGGAAGCCTGGGGCTGGTGAGAGGCCAACTTCCATCTAGGCCTTGACCTGGTTTTCAATGGGCTCAAAGTTTGACCTCCTTTTCCTTATCTGGAGGAAACAGAGGTGCTGGGACCAGGTCAAGCTCTGGCTGAGCCAGGGCTAAAGGAAGTATGTCCACTGGGGGCCCATGCAGCAGGGAGGCATTGTGGAAGCCCCAGCCACCAGTGTTCTGCCTCATAGGGAAGGGTCTTCAGTGGGAATGCAGAGGTTTTCAGGGAAGCCCAAGGCTCCCTGAACTCTTCTGTTCCTTCTGTCAGGACGAGGAAAGGTTGTGTGCGTCCAGCTTTCCACCTTAAACTGCTTTCTGTAGTGCTTCAGTGATAGAATAAGGATGCATAAGGAGACCCCAGGCCAGGTATCTTCCTTCCCCACAGTGCTCAGCTCCCCTAGCCCCATGGTCTGGCTTCCTGAGGAGGATCCAGCTCACCCCAGCCAACAGGAAGCACAGGCAGGTCCCTGCAGGGCCTTCAAGACAGGACCTGCCTGATGGGAGCATCACACACCAGAAGCCAGGGAATTCTGGGCAGACTGAGCCAGTACTCACCTTAGAAGAGCCAAGGGAACCAGAGAAGCCACAAGCCCTCAGGAAGCCTCTTATTCCAGGGGCCGCATTCCTGCTGAGATAAGTCCATCCCCATGAATTGCTGCCAGACCTTGTCTGAACCAGCCTTATGGGGGATGGAATGGGTCTCTTCCCAAGCAGAGAGAGCCTCAGGAAGTCCAGACTGAGCTATATTGACCTTGCTCAAGCCACTGGCCCTGAGGCTGGAAAGGCCAGGTCCTCCCACACCTGCTGTTCCTGCAGACTTCCTTCAGGCTCATCCTGAGGCTCTGCGATATCTACCTTCTGAAGGGTGAGTCTGTGGTGACAACTATAGCATACGTGGCCTTCACAGCACACAGAATTCAGTCCCTGGGTGCCCAGTGGTACCCAGAAAGAGCATGCAGGACAGACCCTGGATCCTACAACCAGACCAGATCCCTGGCTTGTGTGTGATACCTGAAACCAGCATCCACACTGTCCATATGGCCCTCTGCTCTAGCCTGGAGGTAGAGCCAGACCAGGCGTGGAGGGCTGGCTAGGGAGTGGACCCAGGCACCAAACCCACTCCTGACATAACCCAGATGAAAGACAGGAGTGTGGTAAGCACTTCCCTGCCCAGGCCTTCCTCCAGCTGTGGTTTTCTGTGCATAGCCGGACCCCTGGGACAACCACAGTAGGATCCAGCACTGCCTAGTGGAAGGTATCAGAGATGGGAACAAGGTGCAGAAACTGACCCTCCCACAGACCCCTCACAGCTGGATAGTCATTCTGTCCCTAGAACACCCCCTGAAGCTGTTCCTGTTTGGCCTGCAGGAGTTCCTTCAGGACATGTTGTCCTAGACCTGGACCCTGGAGGAGGACATAGTGATGAGGCCTCCATGGGAGAACCGAGAAGCATGCCCTGTGACCTGCACCCCCAGGTGGCCTTCAGCATCAGGTCTCCTCTTATGTCACCCTCTGAGGCAGTAAATAGTGGCAGGTGCCCAGACCTCACCAGCCCTGCTCCCTGGGCCTTCCCCCAGCCCTTCATCTCCCTCTTCCTCTAAGAAGCTTCTGAAAACAAGCTGGCTGGGCCATAGGGCAAAAGCTGACCTTGGATTTACTAGACATGCCTCAGAGACAAGGTGTATGGATATGAGCAAAATTCTCACCCATGAAAGCCCCAGAAGGACACTGAAGGGGTGGGACCCATCTGTGCAAGCCCACAACCACACCTGTGAGTACCAGCAGCCCCGGAGAGCACCAGAGGCCCTTTACTCCTGAGCACCTCTCCAAGGGCCTAAAATCGGTGTCTGAAACATTGAGAGCACTTGGGGAGAGGGCATAGATGAAACCCTGGCCCAGAGCCAGAATTGAGAGCTCAACTGAGTGTGGGAACAGTCCAGCCCTGGCATGGAAGTCCCCCAGAGGGATAGAGGGTGTCTCAACCACTGTGGAGATAACTCCCCATGTCGGGTGGCAAAGGGGGTAGGTAACAGTTAAGGCTCCATCCATCTGAGTTCTGAATTCAAGCTAAATCCCAGATTAAGCAACCCTGGGATAAAAGTGTGAGGCAGGAAGCCTGAGCCAGCCCCTGGTGGGCTGACCCAGGAGTGACTTGAGGCTCCTTAACAGCTTCCCCACCCCAGGCTGCACATACACCTCGCCCTGGGATCAGCAGCCTGCAGGGGTTTTCTCAGCATTAGACCATGGGAACCACATGGGGACCCTGAGGACTCCAGGGACCCAGGTCCATGGGGCCCAGCCTGGCAAAAGTAAGATGTTCTCAGTGGAGAAGCTAACCAAATCTACTTTCCTTTCAGCCAAACCTGAGCAAGTGCCCCCAGCACCCAGGCCTCTGTGGGCATCCCCCAGAGTTGAGACCTTCCCCAAGAGGACAGTCTGGTTCTCCTTGGGCCAAAAGCCCAGCTCCAGCAGCCCATGGGTATAGCCCTCCTAAAACGGGAGCCTCGTCTTTCCTCACCCTCGCCTGGCTAGGCTGTTCCCAAGGCCAAAGCCCAGAGACATGCGGGAGCTTCTACAGAGCCCAGGATAGCAGGCTGCTCTCCGGGGGCCCTGGGGACTCAGAATGTGGCCAGCCTGTTCCCAGCTCAGGATAGACCACAGGATGCTTGGTGATTCTTACGTTGGAACTCCCTCTCAAAGCTCCCCATTGATCTGGACCTCAGAGGCCTGTGGTTTTCACAGTACAGCTTGGTGCAGAGACGCTAGGCCCCTGTCACTTCCATATTTGCCCTGGACATCTCTAAGACCATGGGACTGATCCAGTCCCCAATACCAGCCCTGCTCAGCCCCCTTATAGCCCAGCGGTAGGGCCAGAGACAACTCTCCTGAATGTGGTACCTGCATCCAATCAAAGAAGGTGACTAACATGGCCCAGAAGGAGCTAGGGCAGCACCTGGAAAGCTGCCCCAAAGCCCCAGACAGCACCTTAGACATGGAAAGTCAATCCTGATGGGGAAGCTGGACACTGGAGGCCACTGGAGAGAAGGGTGAGCATGGCATCCCCACAGCCCAGGCCAGCCAGCAGCTTGCCCTATATCCACAGTCCCAAGCTGTAAGGCAGAACCACCGTCTCAAGGCACAATTCCCAGACCCAGAGGGCCCTAGCCCAGACACAACCTGAGCCCTGAAAGGGAAGGGGGACCAGGAGTGCCTTGGGGCCCCCAGCAGTAGCCAAGATAAGCACACAAGAGACTGAGTCCCCTGTGGCCCTGGCCAGAACTAGTACTTGGCTTAAGGCAGAGCAAGCCCCCTTGGAGCACTGTATTCATACCTGGGGCCTATGTGTGCTCAGCAAGGACAAGCTGATAATGTTACCAGGCTCAAACTACAACTGGCCTTGTGGGGTGAGGGTGGGGCAGAAACAGGTAGACCAGCCGCCAACCTCATCCATTCAAGAAAGCAGGAATGGCCAGGATCCTGCTGGATAAGTGGCCACCACCAGACCACCAATGGGGCAGAGTCCTGAGGCCCAAGCAGATGGCACTGGGGCTCTGCTTCTAGGGTCCACAATCTGCTCCAGGACACAGGACTGAAGAAAACTAAGCCAATGGAGTCCAGGAGGCAGGATCCCTACCTCTGCCATTCTTGGCAGTTGCATTTTGTAGTTAGAAAAAGTCAGGAAACCTGGTGCTACCTGCTGCAGGAGGCTCCAAGGTGGGACCCGAGCTTCCAGCATAGATTCAACAATGCCTAAGAAAGACTCTTCTTGGGGAAAAGGAACTCTTCCTTGGCCTCAAAGCCCCCACTTATTTTTATTAAAGCACAATAAAGTCTGTTGTTATGACCTGTTTTTGAGTTGCCCAGAGCTCTCAGCAGGAAACCCTGGACATGCTGGGGTGGATGGGAAATGAGGGAGGCACAGCCCAGATCCTGTTCAGCCTCTTATAGCTTCCTTATCCCAAAGGCCACAGCAAGGCCAAGGACAAGATTGGCCAAGTTTCCCAAAGAACTGTGAGGCCACACTGCACTGCAGCCTCCCACTCTGAGGCAGATGCCAGGGTTAAGACCAATAATTTACCATGATTCAACCTGCAGCTGACAGGGACCCCCAGAGGACTGGAAAGGGAACAAAAGATTGGAGTTCCAATGACATTGGACATTCATGACAGTCCATACAAATCATCCCTGAGGGTCTGCTGTCACTTGGGTCTACTGTCCTTGGGTAACTGGTTTCAGGCAGCCCTTCTTTTCTTCCCACCCTCCCTCCATCTCTCCATCCCTCTCCTCCTCTTTCTCTTCCTTGCTTCCCTCATCCTTCTTTCCATGTCCTCTCAGCATCTTGCCATCCCAGGTCCCAAGCCTGTGCTAAGAAGGGACACAAAGGACACCACTGATAACAAGCTAGGTGACTAGTGGGATCAGGGGAGCCTTGTGGAGTCAGAGTGGATGGGGAGCGGTTTATCTGTGCAGCCCAGGACTGATGCCTCTGGAGCAGTCTAGAACAGTGCAGAATTTCGTGTGTCGCTGTGTGTGCATATGTCCGTGTGCATGCATGTGTATGAGTGTATGTGCCTGTGCCCTCGTGTTTACTGAGTTCTGCTCTAAATCCATGACCATAACCCCAGAAGATCCCTGCTATGCCTTCGCTAATGTCTGCTGTGATCAAGCATGTCCCCTGCTGATAGTTATTCCACTTGTGATGCCATTCTCGAGGACTCCAAGCAATAGAAACCAATGGACCCCTTTGGGCTTTTCTTTCCAATGAGACATAAGTTATATGGGCAGAAGTTATATTCTATTTTCTTTCCATTGATTGTTTTACCATCTTTCTCCTCTTACTGATTTTGAATGAAGGGGGTTTTTCATGGGGTTAAGGTAACTGGCAAGGAATAAGGTAACACCAGGTGCAGTGGCTCATGCCTATAATCCCAGCATTTTGGGATGCCAAGGAGGGTGGGTTGCCTGAGCCCAGAAGTTCAAGACAAGCCTAGACAACATGGCAAAAGCCCATCTCTACCAAAACAAAAAAATATAGCCAGGTGTGGTGGCATGCACCTGTAGTTCCAGCTACTCACGGGGTTGAGGTGGGAGAATGGCTTGAGCCTGGGGGTGGAAAAGTGGAGATTACAGTGACCTGAGATTGCACCATTGCACTACAGCCTTGGCAACAGAGCAAGACCTTGTCTCAAAAAAATAAATAAGAAATGAGGTACCAAGAAACTAGCAAAGCTTCACCTGGCTGTCTGGAGACAGCCCTTGTGTGGTCCCCAGCACACTTTGCAGGTTCTGGGCTGGCCACTCTGTGGTCTCTGTACTCTGTACTGTACATCCCTTCATTTCCCTGGCTGCACCTCAGGAATAGGCCCAGACAGCATGTCCAGGAGGTGCCAGACAACTTTACTATATCCTGTCAGACAGGACCAGTGGACCTTGAAAGAGTTAGCATGAAGCTGGCCACCCAGATCCTGAGACCAACTGTCCCTCCCTGTGCCCTGGAGGAGGGACCTGTCCCAGGAAGGCCCCTAGGGCTTGGCCTGTCAGTGTAGATGTGGGGAAAGAAGAGTGTAGAGTTAGGAAGAGGTATTGGTAGGGGACTTTGAATACCGCTGCTCAGAGGACGTGAATGACAGGGTAGGAGGCATCTCCCATTTCTGCCCTGAACACACCACCCCTTTGACTCCTGAGGGCCATGAGGAGTCCACTCCCCAGAGCTTTTGATAGGATCCTGCATAAGAGTCCATCAGAGGTAAGATTTGCAAATGCTTCCTCCAGCCTGGGGCTTGTCTTTTCATTCTCCCCACAGGATCTTTCAGAGTGCACATATCATTTTAATGAAGTTCAATTATTTTTTTTTCCTTTTATGCATCATGCTTTTGATATTTATGTAAGAAATATTTCTCTAATCCAAAATCACACTGATATCCACCTTTTTCCTTATGTAAATTTTAGTTTTAGGCCTTACATTTTGGTTTATGATACATTTTGAATAATGGTGCCGTGTGTGAAGTTTTTAACATGCATATCTAATTGTTCTTACAGTATTTGTTCCTAGGATTTTCTTCACTGAATTTGCTGTACATCTTTTGAAAACCAGTTGAATATATATGTGAGGATCTATTCTGGACTCTCTGTTCTATTGATCTATTTGTCTAGCCTCTTGCCAATACCATATTGTCCGAATTTCTGAACCTTTACAATAAGTCTTGAAGTTAGGTACTGTAGTCTCTCTAACTTGATTCTTCTTTTTTAGTTGTTGTTGTTGTTGTTGTTTTTTCTATTTTAGGTCAACTGCATTGCCACACACAGAAACATGTGGCCCTGTACATACATACATATCCAACACAAATACGCATATGCAACACAAATATAAAGATATGCACAGAATGACCAAGGGAAATTTATTCCAGGAATGCAAGGCTGCTTCAACATTAAAAACAGGCAAGTATAACTCATCATATTAATAGATTAAAAGACAAAGGCACATCATTATTTCAGTACATTTGGAAAAAGCATTAGACAAAATCCAACAACATTATAAAAACTTCCAGCCTATTTCTATTCCTAAAAACTAAGAATAGAAGTGAATTTCTTAAAATGATAAAAGGCACCTACACGAACTTTATAGTTGATATTTAGTGAACATTATTCTTTTTTCAAAATTACAAAAGGAAATTTATTTTAAATATATAGAGTACATTTATATTTAAACAAGGTGATAAACAGATGTCTTGCAAAAGAAAAATATCCATGGCATTACATTTTTTATTGAAGTTCAGAAGCAAAAATAGCCTAAGTTGTGCACTATTGCTTTAGGAAAGAGAAGGGGAAGAGTGAGAGATAAGGGAACAGTTAAGTCAGTATCAAACTTGAGAAAGTAAAGTCACTTCTGCTCAGCTTTGAGTTTACAAATGTGCTTATAAAGGGGAAAAGTAGTAAAATTTCACTTAATGTTCAAATTTATTTAGCTGTAGTCACAATAAAATTTCTGTACTTGAAATGGCTTTGGGACACTGGCTGATCTCTGAGGTCCAGATTAGCTGGTCAGTTTTTAAATGGCAATTTTATATTCTTTTGTTCAGGTTCCAAAGGAGTTTAGGTTCAGCTCATAGTCCTTTGGAATGTTTTGAGGCTATTGTGGTGGACATTATTCTTAATGATGAAAGACTGGATGCTTTCACCCTAGATGAGGAACAAGGCAAGGATGTTAACTCTCACTACTTCTATTCAGCATCCTACGGAGAGTCCAGCAGTGCAAAGGGCTCCTTCCTTTAGTACACTCAAATTTCCATCTGTAGTCATTATTCTCCTGATGGATAGATGTCCTTTACCATTTCTCAATCTGCACATCTCCTGGTGATGATTTCTTTCATCTTTTGTCTATCTGAAAACCCCTTTATTTTGCCTTTTGATTGGAAAATACTTTGACTGTATAAAGAATTCTAAGTTGACATTTCTTTTTCTTTTAAAAAAAATACTTCCATACAACTCACAATTTTCCAATAAGAAATCTGCTTTGTGAGGAGATCCAAGATGGCCGTTTAGGAACAGCTCAGGATTGCAGCTCCCAGTGAAAGCGCAGAGGGTGAGTGGACGCCGCGTTTTTATTGCCCACAGACCAGGAAATTCCTGGGCGGAGGAGATCCACAGGTCGCCAGCGCGGCTGTTTCGGCCAGCGCGGATGAGCCAGCCGGCACCGCTGCTTTGCCCCGCGCGGCTGCTTTATCGGCGCCCCGGAGCCGTGGTTCTCCGTACAAAATACACCGGTCCAGGTGCCCTTTTGGCTGGCAATTGGAGCCATGGGAAGTCCCCCGTTCGCTGGTTCAAAAAGGGGACTGAGCAGAGAACCAGGACAGTAGATTCCAGAGCAAAAACAAAAAACAAAAAAAAAAAACAAAAAAAGCGCCACAAACCTCAGTGCCCCTGTTTATGCCAGCGCAGTGAGTGGCCGCAGGGGAAAAAAGACGTCCCAGCGCCTCTTCAACAGGCGACTGGAACACCAACTTTAAAAAGGCTCTGAGACAGGGAGCCAGGTGATCAGGCTCGGCTGGTCCCACCCCCACAAAAGAACAGCAACCAGAAACTCTGGATTGAGAGTTTCACAGCAAGTGCAGCTGAACCCGGGATGGTCCAGCTCTATGGGGGAGGGGCGTCCGCCATTACCGAGGCAGCCCGCCGTTGCCAAGGCAACCCTCCATTGCTGAGGCAGCCCGCCGTTGCCAAGGAAACCCGCCACAGCAAAGAGACTCCGCCTCAACAGAGGCGGGCCACCATCGCCAAAGCAGTTCTAACTACACCCAAATAAACAGGACTGCAGGGAAGTTCACTCGGCAGCGGGGCGGAGATCACAGCAGCTCAGCAAAGCTGCTATAGGCCGACAGTGACTAGGCTGCCTCCTTGCTGGGCTGGGCAGGTCTGAAG